TTCTTATGTAGCTTCGGCCGATCCTACTTCTGAATTTATTTTATTATTATATTGTTTGTTTTATGATCTTATTCTCTCGGGTGATGTCAACTCAAAAGTATGTTGACCAAATAATGTAAATTGATATCAAATTTATGGACGAAAGAGACGTGAATAGTTCCACGGCAGGGCTGTATAAACAAGGCACCTATTACACTTTTAGGTTGTCATATTGAGATGCTTGAGACTTTGAGTGAAGATTAGAATATAAGATTTGAATCGAGACATATATAAAACGTACTATTCTGTATCCTTATTTCCAAAATGTTATTGTCAGTATCTTAACTATTTTCTTACTACATAAAAATTTGTTTTATCTCTTGTTGGTGAAATATTAACAAATATGAAATTTTTTGCACAAGTTGAAGATATGTGTATGTGAATTATTGTCAAAGCCAAAATGAATTATCTCTTAGGCCAAAAAAATTTACACCTCATATATATATATATAAAAGAATATCCGTTTTAGCCCCACGCACCCTTAAAAATAATGTTTAAAAAAAGATATTTAAGTTTGGAAAAACCTTGACCTGAGTGTTTTTGAGTTTTAACCCAAACAGTTGATATTTCGCGATTAATCTAAATTTGATCCTTGATTTTTAGAGCTAGGATGGACCAAATTTAAGATTTTAAACGTAATTAACATTCCTATCTACAATTTTTTTCATATATGTTAGAGATGCTTTGACAAGTAAATGCTTTTAGTATCGGTTCAATATACACTTTGTTATTAATCCTACAATGCGTTTTTAGAGTCCATTCATTGCAAGTTTACGTTGGCTATTATTGTAAACATTTACTGTGGAAAAAATGTTTTTTTTTATCTAAAGGCCATGAGATTAGTTTAGATTTCGACATACAATTTGAACGGGTTTCTTAAAAAAAATATGTATTTTAAGAAAGTAAAAAAGATAATCGCTTATTACAGAATTCCTAATCTAGTATATAAGTGATGAAGATAAAACGGTGGCTACACACTAGAAAGACGAAGTTAAATGGTTGTGTGCTGGAATAGGAAAAAAAGAAAAGAAAATAGAAAGCTCTAAAAACTTGAAGCACGAACGAAAGATGTGAACAAGTCACGATTAGGACAAAGAAAAAGAGAGAGAGAAAGCAATGTGAAGACAACTTTAACTAATTACAAATCTTTCGTATATCGGTAAAAGCCAACATCACACACGTAGAGACAGATCCGTCAAGCAACAACGTTTTCGTCCCGTACCTTTCTTCCGATTTATCTCGGGATTCTACGTCCGTTATCCACCACATCTCTACATGTATATATGTATATTAAATACATACATAAATATGCTATACGTATAGATAAATACATATACATGAAATTTATATAAGTATAGAAGTAGGTATGATATGTGCCTAGTGATAGGCTCAGAACTACACTAAAAATGTTGCAGCTAACTGTTAAATAGCAATCAATCTACACTGCCATCGATTCAAAAACTCTGGACCGTCGTGCAGTCCAAGAAGCAGAAGAATGTTGAAAGTTGCTGCCTTAATATTTGTTTTCTCATTTGCATTTCCATTTACATTACATGCATGCTCTTAACTCTTATTTCTTCATTTATCATTCTCTTATTTCTCGTGTTCATTAATTTATGTCTCTATTGTCTTAATTAACTATGAAAATCTCTTGATGGAAACTTGTGTGGAAGTTTTATATAGTCACGTGGGGACATGATCTTAACTAGCAGTTTCAAATATATTTACCAAATGTAAAATATTTTATTCATAAATATCTTTGAGTTAAATTAAAGTAGAAATTTTGAAAAGACCGAGTTGTTGTTATCATTGTGAGTAAATTATTTTTGTTGTAACTCAAAATTTTGTATCTTTCTGCTTCTACTGAAGCTAGGAATAGAGAAGTCTAGTAGCTAGGTTGTGAGATTTTATATATATACGCTTTTGCCAAATAGTACAGTATATATGTATAAATTTATAACTTTTCCAGGAATAAATTAGTGATCCCTTGATTATGAGAATATCATAAAACTAAAATATATATGATGATACGTCTGATTCCAAAATTTATTAATAAACCATTATTTTTTTAGTTTCGTTGAAATGTCTATATATTACCGAAATCAATACACAAATAGACAAAATCTTAACATTACTTATAAGTTATATAACTGACATGTTTGAATTAACATAAGTAGATTATCTATAAAAACTTGAAAATCCATAATCCATGGAAAACCTAACACTATCCTACCTAAGATAGAAAAACTATAAAAAAAAAGATAGAAAAACTATTAAAATACACAATATTATAAGAATAATTCATATTAATCCTAATCATAGAACTATGTATAAATAATGATGAATATTGATAACAAAAAGTGACTCTACAGAAATTTAAATTAATTTATACGATTAATATCAGTTGCAGTAACATATAAATGTTATTTACCTGTACCTATTGATGAAAATAGGAAAGAAGAGATTTTCCTTTTTGATATATGAAACAGTTATAATAATAGCCCTATACTAGCCTTGCCGCATGCAACCATGCTACTCTACTTACCATTAATTAGCCTCATTGTTTTTATTCTCTCTCATTTGTGTTTTTTCTGAACCACACAAGAGAAATCATAAGACAATTGCTGATGAATTGAAGTACGAACCCTAAGTATTCAGAAATCAAATAAACTATCTTGGTTGTGATCATCAGTTCGATCCGAAAAGTTAAATAGATATTCATAGGTTTAGGTATATTTCATTAAACCATATCACGAGTATTTTTACTCTGATCTGGTTATGTTAGCATATTGTACATTTGTACTTTCTTGCTAAATGACTCAAATGATGTGGATGAATAAATTTTTAATCATTGTCGGCCTTATGAACTTACTGAGCTCCATCTTCATTCTTTTGAAGTAACAAGGCCCTAAAAATAAGGAAGCTCTCATTTTAAGAGCCTCAATGTTTGGAAGGCCGGAAGGATGGGCTTTATTAAGTAAGACAAATGCATCTTCCTTGGTGTTTTTCTACTGGTCGTGGACGTGGACAAACAAACATGGACAGATATTTTTTGTGAACTTGTTACCCCCGTCTTCAAAAAAAAAATCTTAATTATTAGTACTTCTGAAAATTAAAATTTGAAAACTCAACTTGATTTGGTTTAGTGTGATGAAACAATAATATGTGTGGAAACTTATCTGTCTTTTTATTTTCTTCCAAATGTGGTGTTTGAGGCTTAACATGTTAGGCCCCGTTCGTTTCTCCATTCAGATGGATCATCTGGATGGAGATGAAGAATGATGTTCGTTTTTGACAATTTAACAGAGCATTTGGATGAATCAGTTGGATGGATCATCTGAATGAGTTTGTAATTTTAGGCAAATTTGTCAAACTCATCTGGATGAACATGATTGAGCATTTGAATGGAGATGATTCAGCCAAAAATAACAAATGACAAATATACCCTCATTTACAATCATATATCAAATAATGTTTATTTCCATAGATTTCTCATTTTATATTTTAAAAATCACATATTTGCACCAAAAAAAATCTCTAAAAATCGTGAAATCAAAGATTTCATTTTCGTCAAAATCATAAAATCGCGGAATTGAGTTTTTTCCCGCCAAAAAGTGAAATCATGATTTTTGATAGAAAATTGTGGAATTCGTCAAAACCGCAAAATCATGTTTTTTCGCCAAAACCGCAAAATCATATTTTTCGCCAAATCATGTTTTCCCGCCAAAACCATAAAATCATATTTTCCCGCCAAAACCGCAAAGTCATGTTTTTTCGCCAAAACCGCAAAATCATAGTTTTCCCGCCAAAACCGGAAAAAATTGAAGATTAACATTTTCCACCAAAATCGTAAAATCATATTTTCACGCCAAAACTATAAAATCACGATTTTGGCGGGAATATTACAGAATTCTGTTTTCCCGCCAAAACTGAAAAAACTGAAGAATTGTGTTTTCCACCAAAATCATGAAATCATGTTTTCCCTTCAAAACTATAAAATCACGATTTTGGTGGGAAAATTACGGAATTCTGTTTTTCCGCCAAAACCGAAAAATTGAAGTATTGTGTTTTCTACCAAAACCGTGAAATCATATTTTCCCGCCAAAACTTTAAAATCACGATTTTGGCGGAAAAATTACGGAATTCTGTTTTCCCGCCAAAACCGAAAAAATTGAAGAATTGTGTTTTCCACCAAAACCGTGAAATCATATTTTCCCGCCAAAAGTACAAAACTTAATTTTCCTATAAAATCAAAAATTTTCGCTAAATCAAAATTTTCCGCCAAAACTGTAAAAATCATATTTTTTGGCAAATCATATTTTCCAGTCAAAATCGTAAAATCATATTTTTTCGCTAAAACCGTAAAATTAATTTTTATATGTTATAATATATTTTAGAGCAATAACTAAATTAATATAGCTAATATTATAATTAAAATATAATTAGATCAAAAGTATGGGTATTTTAGTCATTTTTTTGTTAAAGTCATCTAGATGCAAATGAAGATTTATAAAAATTAAGCAAACAAACAAAAGTTCATTTAGATGCTCCATCCAAATGAATATCCAAAAATTGAAACGAACAACATTTAGATGGAGCATTTGGATGGAACATTTAGATGGACCATCTGGATAGAAATGCCAAATGATCAAACGAACAGGCCCAACATGTTTGCTTGAAAATTAGTTCAAGATTTGTATTTTTTTTCCTATTTAGGTTTTTGTAGCGTAAGACCTCTTGTTTTTATAAATGTGTTTCTTATGTCCACACTAGATTATATTCTTAAGAGTTTCTTTATGACCCGACTATATCACTCATTTTTCAAACTTTTTTTTTTTAATTCATTTTTCAAACTTTAGGTTATTGAATAGAGTGATTTGCAAGAATAACACATTTTCAAAACAAAATTAAGAATATAGCACTATATATGTATTAATTGACTAACCTAAAGGGTAGGTGAAATGACCAAAGGTGGTGGTGGTGGTTCCGGCGACGGCGGTAGCTTCGGCGATGGTGGTGGCTCCGGCGACGGTGGTGGCTCCGGCGACGGTGGTGGCTCTAGTGTCGGCGGTAGTTCTAGCGACGACGGTGGCTCCGGCGATGGCGGTGGCTCCGGCGACGGCGGTGGCTCTGGCAACGGCGGTGGTTCCGGCGACGGCGGTAGTGGTGATGATAGCGGCAGTGGTGGCCATTGGTGGTGGTTAGTGGTGAGGACAAAATTGTAATAATATATATTACACATATGTTATAATGTAAGTTTTTTTTTAAGGTTAGTTTCTTAGTTTATATTTTTTTTGTTGGTTATACATCCAAATTTTCCTATTGAATATAATTAGTCTCTTTACTTAAATGCCTTTCATCAAATTTTGTAGGAATGCTAATGTAAGAAGAAGCTATGGATGCTTAAAGTCAGTAACACCCCGGTTTCAAGAATATAGTGGTGCATGCGGAGAAGTTTAAAAAGAATTGATTTGGCCACGTATGTCACCAAAGTGCATTTATCTTTTCGGTCAACAGTACTGAGAGAACTCCATAGTTAAGCGTGCTTGGGTTGGAGTAGTTTCAGGATGGGTGACATTTCGGGAAGTGATTGTCGGAACTGTGTGAGTGAGGACAAAACACAGGGAAAGATAATGTGGTGATTTGTAGGGTCGGTAAACAAGTCTTTAAAGCCTCTCGGACGTAGCGGACCGGCCGTCGGACAGGGGTGGGCCCACGGGCCCGAGAGAGGATGTGGGGCCTACTAGTAGGGACGGTCGGAGCGTTACAAGTGGTATCAGAGCCGAACCCAGACGTGTGTAGAGTCAAGAGGGCTCACACCGTCGGGGGTTACGGTCTTGGTGCGTAACGAGGACGTTGCGATCAGTTAGTGGGGGTGAATTGTAACACTCTGGTTTCAGGAATATGGTAGTGCATGCAGAGAGGTTTAAAAAGAATTGATTTGGCCACCTATGTTTCACCAAAGTGCACTTATCTTTTCGGTCAACAATACTGAGAGAACTCCACAGTTAAGCGTGCTTGGATTAGAGTACTTTCAGGATGGGTGACTTCCGGGAAGTGATTGTCGAAACTATGTGGGTGAGGACAAAACACATGAAAAGATGATGTGGTGATTTGTAAGGTCGGTAAACAAGTCTTTAAAGCTTCACAGACGTAACGGACTGGCCGTCAGACAGGGGTAAGCCCATGGGCCAGAGAGAACGTGGAACCAACTGGTAAGGTTGATCGGGGCGTTACACAGCCACTTCAACATATTTTTACTATGAATATTGTATTTGTTAAATATCATTTTTTTGTCACACTATTAAATATCATTTAATAATTTTATTACATGACCCAATCACATTTGTCATTTAATTGGCTTCTTTGGTACATTAACTTACGAGTGTTTGATCAAACAATAGGTTCTTGAGACGAAGATAGAAACATTTAAAGCAAGACCCGCTGAAATCTTGGTGGAGATGTCGTGATCATGCATGTTCTAAAATGTGGTCTACACGTTTTGATTTGAGCCAAAAAAAAGAAAAGCAAATTGCAATTAAAAGGAAGTAGTGCATTGGCTAGTGTAAAATGTGACTTGGACAAGAAGCTAAAGACGAACAGAGGAAACAATGGTTTGAAGAACCGCATGTAACTTCATACCCTTAACCAAAGTGAAAACAATTAAACCTCTTATAAGTTCTTAATTGTTGTTTCATTAGAGCAGGAAAGCATATAATATTACAGCTATTGTCATCGACAAAGGTTACTTAAAACCAAATTATGATTATGAGATTTCTCCATTACCAAGACAAGTTGTTACCGACAAATTTTTTGAAAGATATAGAACAAAAGCAGTTTCAAATAACTTTTGCAAAGAAATACTGGAATATGACTTTTTTTTTGTTTTTTTTCATTATATGCAAAATAAATTTAATAATAAATAAAAATAGGAAAGAGTTTTGGTTTAAATAAATATCAACTAATACAATTTTGAATATAAAACACATTAGAAAACAAAAAAGGTCCCGGGTTTCATGTTCCACGAAACGTCAAAGTAAAAGTAATAACACTCATTGTCCCATTCTTTAAATATCTCACGACTTCTCACCTCATATTTCTCTCACACTCCATTTACCATGACTTACACTAAGAGGCAAATCAAGATCAATCACTGGCCGGAGAAGAAAGACAAAGAGAAGGAGAAATACCCAAAAAACAGTGAAACGATAAAATTGATAGTTCTCACTCTGCTTCTCTCCTTCTCAATTTGTTTCCTCTTCCTAATTCTCCATTTCCCCTTCACAACAGAGTTCACAGCCTCAATCCCCCGCAAATGCTACCACAATTTCACCGTCTACGTCTACGATCTTCCCAAAGAGTTCAACATCGGTATCCTCCAAAACTGCCGACACTTAAACATCTACACCAACATGTGTCCCCACGTAGCCAACAATGGCCTCGGTCAGCCTCTTTACCGCAGCGGAAGAACCTCGTGGTTCGCTACACACCAGTTCATAGCCGAGATGATCTTCCACGCACGTGTAAAGAACCACCCGTGCCGCACGTGTGAGCCAAACAATGCCGACATCTTCTACGTCCCTTTCTACGGTGGCCTCTACGCTTCAAGCGTCTTCCGAGAGCAAAACCTGACCAACCGCGACGAGCTAGCCGTCAGATTAGTTGACTATATTAGTGGCCAACGATGGTGGAAGAGAAGCAACGGTCGTGATCATTTCTTGGCTATAGGGAGGACAGCTTGGGACTTCATGCGCTCCTCCGACACTGATGACTTTGGAGCAAACATGCTCATGCAAATGCCACGTGTCAAGAACATGTCGGTGCTGACCGTGGAGAGGCAACCTTGGAAAGGTGACAATCACTTTGGTATACCGTATCCTTCTTATTTTCACCCGTACACGTCAGCAGAAATGGTGACGTGGCAAGACAAGATGAGAAGAGTCGATAGACCAAACTTGTTTAGTTTTGTCGGTGGGCCGAGAAAGGGCTTGGAGAAAGCAGCCATTAGAGACAAGCTGATCAAGCAATGCGCTGAGTCGAGCCATTGTGAGCTTCTCAAGTGTGAAAATGGAGGGTCCAGGTTTTTTCTTTCTTACTTTATTAGCAATTTTGTTTTTTTGCAATTAAGCATTATTTAATACACCACCAAGTCACCAGTCACCACAATTTCTTAGGGGTCCATAGTCATAAACATTACATTATAACTACTGGCACATTGTTTTACTTTATCACATTACATTTTCATTGGTTAACTCTCTCAACTTATTTGACTAAGAGGTGTAACAATAATTCAACTAGGAGACTTGGTTGTTCAACTGTATCTTAAGTGTTTTGTATATCCATTTTTTTTTTTGGTCTTAACCATGATTATTTGGTCAATGTAGGTGTCACGACCCGATGACGGTATTAGGAGTGATGGCTAGGTCACGGTTTTGTCTACAAGCACCGGGGGACTCATACACGCGTAGGTCAACATTTGATGCGATGTTAGCCGGCTGCATACCGGTATTTTTCTCACCACACACTATGTATACACAGTACTTGTGGTATCTTCCAGACGATAAAAGAAGTTACTCAGTGTTTATGGACGAAAAGAACAATACTCATATAGAACAAGAGCTCTTGAGGATCTCAGAGAGCGAAGTGGTTCAAATGAGAGAAACAGTCATCGATTTGATCCCAAGCGTAACTTATGCGCACCCAAATGCTACTAACTATGATTTACCAGATGCGGTTGATGTAGCGTTAGAGGCGCTAGCTAAGCAAGCAAGAGACAAGGTTGTGGTTTCATTGTAAGCCCTATATATACTTTTGTGCTTTTCTGATGTAATTAGTCCCAAAGAATAAAGAATTTTAGTGGCTCAAGCCAAGCAGGTGATAATATTTTCATCTACGTCACCTTCCTGAATGCAATGGTAGAGTTTTGTTTTGGCTAATTGCTCGCCTGTGTACACTTCCAAGCACCGAAACTCCAGACTTTAATTATGCAGGGATTGATTTGCACTTACACTAGGCCTGAGCGTTTAATCCGAAACCGAAAATCCGAACCGGATCCGAACCGCAAAAAGCGGATTTAAATCCGAACCGTATCCGACAGATTAATCGATCAGTTTTTGATTTCTATATCCATGGATATCGGATAATACCCGATCCGATCCGATATCCGACGGATAATCCGAACTCTCCTCTAGAAGTTCTAGCACCTTAGTCCTCCCTTGCAATACGAGATCCATTTTCCTTATCTGGATTTCTCTTCCTATCAATACGTGATCCACTTTCCTAATCTCGATTTTCCTAACAATACGGGATCCACTCCTCTAGCATATAAGCATAAAACCCTAATCTTTCAATATGGATATTTCGGATTAATCGGATTATTTTTAGATTTTTGGTTATATCGGATATTGAATATCATATCCATACCGATCCGAAATCCGAAATATCCAAACCGAAACCGATCCAAATTCTATAATTATCCGTATGGATATGAAAATCTATATCCAAAAAAAAAGAACTCCGAAAAAATCGAACCGAATCCGATCCGATAACCGAATGCCCAGGCCTAACTTATACATTTGGGGACACAAAGATAAAGACAATCTCAAGCTCAGAGGTTCTTTTAGATGATTGATCAAAACAGGTCTCTCTAGGACAATCATACCACTCAATAAAATAATTACCTCCGTCACCTTGATTGTAGATCATATGGGGAAATACCTTTTGGACATTTGAAAGTTAGCACGAAGAAATTGCCCATGACTATTTTATTTGGCCCATGACTATTTTATTAGGCCCAAGCCCAATATAGTTGAAATTATTTCTGAGGTTGTTCAGAACAGCTATGCTACACAATAAAATCAGTCTATAAGTTTAGGAAAAAAGATACTCAGTTACACGAAGTATAACGTATTACATGGCTACACATACCAAGTTTAAAAATGTACAATCAACTACACGAACTAAATGTATTGCATGCCCACATATACCAACTATATGACGACATGTGGTTAATATCACGAACATTTATTCTGGTACACCAATCAACGAAATCCGACGTTGACCATTGTTGACCGGTATTGACCAACAAAAATATTCAATTTTTTTTTTTAAATATTTTTAAAAGAATTACTCTTTTAAATCATTTATGGTGTTGTATAGTAAAAAACACATTCTATATTTAACAAAAAATATTTTGTATGATTTTAATAATTAGTTGATTTTTTCAACTTCAAAACTAAACTAAAAGTGAAATAAAATAAATTTTATTAATTTTTTAGAAAAATTGAGTATATGACTTTTTAATCTAAATTTTGCATGGTAAAAAAAACTATTAAGTTTTTTTGCTAAAATTAAAATCATAATACATAGTTAAAAAATATAAAAAATTTTACATACTCTTTAGTCTACCTTTAATATATTGTTAATTTTTGTAATTAAAATTATTCAAAAAAATTCTCGTAATAACGGATCAACAACAAAAAAAGGTCGCAATTTGTTTTTTTTAATATATAACAAATAAAAAATCTAACGATATTGATTTTAACAAAAACATTTATAAAATAAGAAGTTAATGTTTTTATTGACAATGTAAAAATAAGTAATTCGCTATTATTTTTATTTTACTTTTATTTTAGTTTTGAAATTGAAAAAACTAACTAATTATAATAATCAATTTATTAAATCTATATACAAAATTTATTTAAGTTGAATATAGAATGTGTTTTCCTCTTTAGTTATACAATACCATAAAAGATTCAATAGAATTATTTTTGTTTTTGTTTTGAATATTGAAATTTAAAAAATAAAAAATTTGAATATTTTTGTTGGTCAATGACGGTCAACGATGGTCAACGCCGGATTTCGATGATTAGTGTACCAGAATAAGATGTTCGTGATGTTGACCACATGTCGTCATATAATTGGTATATGTAGACATGCAATACATCTAGTTAGTGTAGTTGGTTGTAACATTTCTAAACTTGGCATGTGTAGTCATGTATTCCGTTATAGTTGATGTAGCTGAATATCTTTTTTCTTTAAGTTTACTGTCAACCAATTTAGTCTATATAACTAAATGGTTGAAAAATAGCAGAGAAATATATAATTAATCAACATTTTGCAAGAACCTCTCACAAGTCACAATATTTGTCATTAGCTTATTTGACAATTTTTTTTTTTAATTCCAAACTAATACTTTACAGTTCACATATATATATACCATAGTACTATAAAGTGGTTTTCTTAATAATTTTGACGTTGAGGTTTACAAAGTTTGCAAACAAATCATTGATATTTGGCACAAGAAATCATCAAAACTTATAATGTTTAAAGTTTAAACATAATTATTATCATATTAAACTGATCAATTTATAAAAATTCATGAAATTTTCGGAGTTTCAGCCAATTCATATTTTATATCCATAGGTGGTTTTATAAACTCGTATTGTTTTCTTGAATAGGGAAATTATTTAATTAAAACGACGGTGTACTTTTTGTTTGGGTCTCAAATACGGGTTTGTTTAGGGACAAGCGTGTGGGAGATGCAGAGCATGACAGCATGTGGATGCTCAATCTGCAGAGACGATTAAAATTAATTATATATACACATTGTATTAAAAAAAAAATTATAAGTACACAATTTGATAGACATCATCATAATGTTGTGTTTCCCTTGTAAACATTTGAAGAATTCAATTAGTTTATTGTATCTATAACATTTTTTCTTTTTATCTCATCTCTTTATTACGTCATGAGTAGGTACCTAAACCTCGTTCTCAGCTTTAAGCTTTAATAAATTATTACAAGACCCATCGTTCCATTTAACTTATATAATAAATTATTACATAGCAGCTTGTCGTATATAGATGGTACTATATCGTATTATCTATTTTGAAGCTGCTTGTCGTTTATTTTCAGCGTGCAACAAGTTTGGTAGAGTTTCCAAGAAAATAGTCGTCATTTTCTTTTTGTGACATTGTTAGTGGTAAATGATGATGCTATCTTAGCCGGTTACAGTCTTAGTGTCTTACTTATCAAGTATAACGTGGTAAGAGAACGACCTCGACGTAGGTAAAATGCATATCAGATATTAGACGGAATGTTATTTGATGTCTTTTGACTATTAAGGATGTTCATTACATCCATTTTTAATATTTTAAGATATATTTATTTTTGCCAAGAAATCATATTTTCGGATTGTATTTGGTTTTGATCTAGGATTCTCTTTCTTATTTATTTATTATTATTTGTAATTATTTTTCTTTATTATTAAAACGAGAAAAGAGAAACTATATTTTTGACTAAATAAATCCCTTGAATAAAAAAGAGACATATCTCTCAAGTTTTTTTTTTTTTTTTTTTTTCAGGTCCGTCAAAAGTCCGGTTCCTTCGCGAACGAAGTTCAGAATCAACTCTCAAGTTGACGACGATAAACCATTATAATAGTATTATGTGGGGGAAAAAAATTATAATAGTATTATTAATATTAGATTTAGATCTAAATCCTAATATCTCAGAATTTTTGAAGATTGTTCGTGCATTGCTGGAATAAGATCGAGAATGACCATTTCACTAAGCAATTGCGGTGCATGCATAGTCTTTTTTTTTTTGATAAACCCTATCGGTTATCCGGTCGGCCCCGGTAAAAACGCACCGAGGTGTTACATAGTGGACTGGTCCACTGTGTTAACGGTTAGACCCTTACGGGCTACCACTCTGCCTATCCCGAGTTTGGAATGCCTTCCGACTAAATGCCAGGAAGTAGTCAAGCCGCCTGCATTTCTGGCTACCAGATAAACCAATTGGGCCAAATTTCAACTGACAGACTTTCTAAAGAGATTGCACAACTTGATGGTTCTTTGTATTCGTTAGTTCACTATCTTCCTTAAATCATATTGTAGTCTTGCATTACATTTTTTTTTTGCCTTGCCTACTTTTATGTAGGCATTTCTTTTGTAAAAGCCTCAATTTTCATCTAATGAAATTTACATCTTTAGAAAAAGAAAAAAAAAGACTAGAAAATTTTAGAAATTTCAATTTATATTCAAATGATTTTTAATATATTGGTGGCTGATGATGATATAACAAAGATTATGGTGAAGTTTTTTCTGTCTACCTTGCCGAAATAAAAAAAAAACTTGATTTTCCGGACTAAGGTTAACCCACATCCAGAATTATGTCGACTATGTCCACATACGAAATTACGTTGTAAATTTTGATTTTATATAGCTCCGGAAAATCTCATATGAGAGTTCAAACAAATTTTCAGCATATGTAGACCGTAAATGTCACGATTCGCGATCTTTGACTACTACTAATTTAGACCAGTTGGACCAGTTTAGACAAGTTTTGGTTTTTCTATGTATGGATTAGCTGTTCAAGTCGTTGAATACGAAACCGATAACAAACCTTTGTCGAAATAAAAAGTCACCTATTTTTTTTCCTTTTTTGACTTCGAAAATAAAGTCAGAAATATAATAATCTGTTTATAAAATCAGATGGCTGACTGTTTTAATACATGCAATGATTATTGATTATTCTATAAGTTCAGTTCTAGCGCTACACTTTTTTGGACGTAAGTATAGTGTTTAACACTTTAACAATTATTATCTTCTAATTATTATATTAAAATGAAGTTATAAGGAATATATAATCTGTTTTCCATAAGAGACAAGACCTACGCACTTAATCATGATTAGAGCAACAGGTTAACATTAATTAGATACAGATACAATACAGGTCCGGATGATGAATGTACCGTTGAGTTGTGCTGAAGCCAAGTGGAGGCTTTGTCTACATTTTTCTTTGTCATTTACTCAAAATTATTTCTCAAGTTTTCTAATTATAGGGGTTCTTTCTAATAATTAATTTCTCCCCATATACCACTCTCGTCTTCCTAATGGGCAAATAATTTGAAATAAAAATGATGGAAAATAACACGGTTCTATTTTGAACCATGTTTTGAATATCTCTTATAGTGCCCCCTATCCATTTGAATCGGTGACATAAAGAAGACCCACTTTGGATCATTTTTTCATTTCATCTATAAACTAGAAACATTTTGAATCTTAGTCTAGTTGTATTTAGTGTCGGTTTATATCTTATAATAATTGATGATAATGTGGGTGAAAGAGAAAGTTTTTGTTAGTTAAATATATGGATAAGAAAACCTGATTAGCTTTAACAAATATTGTAGTTCTCTTATTGAATTAGAGAAGCCGTACGTTGACTTTGCAAAAACATTGGTGTACAGTTTATAAAATACTCCAATACTTTTCATATTTAATAATTAATGCACAAGGAGTAGCTAGCTACATGATAAAATACATCAACATCATAAGCCTACGACCGAACAAAAGGAACCATTTTGCTTCAACGTAAGCACCTATAGATTATTCCCATCGGTTATGTTTGTCTTCGTTGCATAGAATAAGCTTAATAACGAATTTCGCAGAAATAAGCAGTTGAAATGTGTTGTACGTACGTAATTATGGAGAGAAATAAAATGTGTAATATACATTCTTAGATGTGGACTTATTTACATGGTCTGATTTTTGGTCCGAGAAGATTAAAAACATGGTAAACTAGAAAGAAAAAACATGCAGTTCATGTGTCTTTATATAGTAAATTCAATTATTTTCATTAGTATCTATACTAAATCATCTTCGTGGTTCAGGATCCGGATGCTCTATGTCCAATTGTTGTTTGTTTGACATCGTGGATTGGTTACATGGTTCAATAACTTCAAAAATATTATATATATATATATATATATATATATATATATATATATATATATATATATATATATATATTCGGTGAATTGTGCAATTAATCCACGATTTTGCTATGCCAAACCGAGTTCCAATTGTCATACACATTAAGCAAATTTCAAATAAGACGATGAGGGATCCATCGAATGCAACTGGTAAAACCACACAGTAATTTACAACTTAATACCATAATCAAGGAGAGCGTTACACGAGCAACTCTCACAAACTGATATTCAAAGAACTTAATTTATGCTATATAAATGTTTTTATGTTAGTTACTATTTGTACTAAATCATTTCTCTTACATAAAATCCACTTATTAATTGTTTAACCATCCGTTTCGGATCTCACATCCACATTCGGTTTAATTAGAGAAAAAATGGTTTCATTGCTTCCAAATTAACATATGAAGACTATAGGGTGTGTGTAGAGTTTAAACAAAGAGGAAAAAACACAATTAAGAGTTTGTTAAGTGAGGCATGTGATGTTGTAATTCTCGCTAATCGCAATGGCCAATAAATCCTCTTCCCACGCGTCTCTTTTGCCACACCCTTCACTTGTTTTCCTCCCATTCTTCTTATACTCTTCCCACGTGCCGACACGTGGCATTAACATTTCATCTGCATTTTAAAAACCCAAAGCTATATTCCCAATTTTGCCATTTAGATGAGCTATCTATTTTTATCAGTAAATATAGCTTCTTCACTTTGTCCTTCTTCCTATTTTAAATGATAAACCACATTTGTGTGTTAAAAATAATAATAATGATGAAACACACATTGCAACCCAAAACAAAACAAAAATCTTTCAAACACATTATTTTATTTCCTTAAAATAAATGTCAGTAAAAAACAAATTAATCTTGGGATACCTGAAGAAAGAGTGATGTTTTATTTATTTTTTTGTCATCGTTTCCTCTTTGTTAATATCTAGGTTTCATTCACGTCTATAGGTATAATAACAAATGGTCCTTTAAAAGCTTTAAAAAATCAGAGAAAACGCTCTCTGGTTTTAATCATGCAACTGTGTTATTATAACAATTTTGTAACCTCAATTTCATGATTCATTTCTCCTCTAAAACCCTCTCCAAACCCAAAAGATAGTGACGCATTTGAGGTCAGCCACCACCTCCATTGAAGTGAAGAAGCTTGAGAAAGAGAAAGAGAGAGACAAAAAGAGAGATTATATTGTAGTGTGGTGCATCGTTTCAAAAACACACAACAAAAAGAACCGTACGAAACTTTTGTCTCTTTCCGTGTTGTTGTTAGCTAATGACAGAACTCAACTTCCTCCTCCTCCCAATAATCTCCGATCGCTTCACCACGACGACGACGTCACCGTCTTTCTCATCACATTCTTCTTCTCTTCTCTCTTTCACCAAACGGAGACGAAAACACCAACCTTTAGTATCATCCATACGCATGGAACAGTCACAGTCACAAAATCGAAAAGACAAAGTCGTCGTCATTTTAGGAGCCACCGGCGCCGGAAAATCAAGACTTTCCGTCGATCTCGCCACTCGTTTTCCTTCAGAGATCATAAACTCCGATAAAATCCAAGTCTACGAAGGATTAGAGATCACAACGAATCAGATTACGTTACCAGACCGTCGCGGCGTTCCTCACCATCTCCTCGGCGTTTTAAACCCCGAACACGGTGAACTCACCGCCGGAGAGTTTCGCTCCGCCGCTTCAAATGTCGTCAAAGAGATAACCACTCGTCAAAAGCTTCCGATAATCGCCGGTGGATCTAACTCTTTCGTTCACGCAGTCTTAGCTCAACGATTCGACCCAAAGATCGATCCTTTTTCTTCCGGGTCGGGTTTAATCAGCTCCGATTTGCGTTACAAGTGTTGTTTCATCTGGGTCGATGTATCGGAGACTGTACTTTACGATTATCTTCTCAAAAGAGTCGACGAAATGATGGATTCAGGTATGTTCGAAGAGCTATCTGGATTCTACGACCCGGTTAAATCCGGTTTAAAACCCCGGTTTGGGATTCGGAAAGCTATAGGTGTACCGGAGTTTGACGGTTACTTCAAAGAGTATCCACCGGAGAAGATGATAAAGTGGGACGATGCTTTAAGAAAAGCGGCGTACGATAAGGCGGTGGAGGATATCAAAAGGAACACGTGGACGTTAGCGAAGAGACAGATAAAGAAGATAGAGATGCTAAAAGACGCTGGTTGGGAAATAGAAAGAGTTGATGCAACGGCGTCGTTTAAAGCGGTGATGATGAAGAGTTCGTCGGAGAAGAAGTGGAGAGAGATTTGGGAAGAGCAAGTGTTGGAGCCAAGCGTAAAGATTGTGAACCGGCATTTGGTGGAAGATTAGGTTTTTTTTTTTGTTTTTCCAGCTATTTTACAGCTCATTTTTGGGAACTATTTTTGAAATAATAAAATTGGAAGAAAAAAAAGACATTTTTTTGCTGTTGTTTGGTTTTATTCTAGAAAAAACATAGAACACATATGTCCATTTTTAGTCCTTAAAAAAACTAAATCGATGGGAAATATTTTTCAATGTTTGAAAAAAGTAATTTAGTAGTAACAGTTTCTTGTTTTTTTGTGTAATGTGTACCATATATTTTTTCAAAAGTTATAATTTTGATTTAAAGTTTTGATCGTTAGGAAAATTAGGAGCTCTTTTTTCCTTGTTTGTTTGTTGTAGTCTGCAGAAATGTTGTGTATTGAGAAGAAAGCAACGGCATGGAGAGAGAGTGTTTGCATTTGGCGTCAGAACAAATAAAACCTTTTTGTATATATATTTTTTTTGATAGAGTTCTTGTATTTTTTGTTATTGTATAAAATGTATACTATTTCTATTCTTTGGAAACGGAAGTCGAGGTTTTGAAAGCTCAATATCCGGCTCGATGAGACATGAGTCATCATTTCGTTTTATGTTTCTTGACAAATGACAACAAATTAAAGTCGTAACGGAAATGAAAATTCAATTTTGCAAAGAAACATATTTACGACATTTATTTTCATTTTTATAACGAATCTTATTTGTTGTATCTTATTCAATGCCAAGATTAAAGGAAAAGTTAATGAATATTCAGTTTTGTTCCAAAATTAAAGTTTTTCTTCGTTACTTCGTTTAATAAAAATCTCCACCTTGACAATAGCAACTTGATTGTCCATGACTCTACGTGTTTATTTTTTTTTTTTTTTGTCGTCCGAAATTAATTAGAGCTCAAAAAAAACCATTTATGGGAAATGTTGTTTACAAATATGATATGGAGCGGTTCTGTACGAATTTTTGTGCCAGATGATCCGCTTTTACATTAGCATTACAAGAAATTAAAGATAAAGAGAAAGATGAGAATTTTTCCTTGTCGCTCTGAAATTCCTCCAAGTACACTGAAAACGCCGACCATTCGGTTGGAGAAGATATCATCTTCACCAGATCAAAACAGTGTTTAAATTATAGTATGATATAATTTTTGTGGATCAAAAAAATAAAAAGGTTTGTGGATCATATGTACGGAGACAAATAATTCATAATTAAAATGAGTAACATGTAGAAATTACAATAATTAAGTAAACATGTTTTATTGGTATTCTATAACATGTTGTGTATCTATATTAAAACAAATTGGATTAGCACCATACTTAACTACATTTGTAAATATATGTAATCTTAGATTTTATAGAAAAAATGTTTTAATAAATTTCAGAATAAACATAAAGTTAGTCATTACTCATTAGTAGTAAAAATAGTTTGTAGACTGAAAACCACCATCTTATCAAGAAGAAACTGAAAATGAACCATCAAATATAGCTTATAACTACATAAAAAGTTGCCTAGACGTCCTGAATGTCTAATTGAATTGACTACGTAGGATGCTTAACCGGTGGTTTTGGAGGCCAACATAATCCTATGCCGTCTAAAAACGAGTTTTTCTGTTTCGTTTTATGTTTACATTATTATTTTATACACTTTTAGTTTAGCATTATATAACAAAATAATTTTAAGAATACAGGAACTGATGTCAAAAAAGGAAAAGGCAAAACACGAATGGTTTCTCATTCATACATTTCATTTTGAGTTAACTAAAATAGATAAGCCATAATCTTCTAAAATTATTTTAGAAACTAGCTAGCAAAATGTATTAATTTGCATTATCTAAATTTGAAGAAAACAGAATGTTGCAACCTGAGCCGCAAGGAGTTTTTAGATTCAGACAGCCCCACGAACTTCTTTGAAGTCAGATTTGACAACTCATACTAATCAAAACGAAATCCTCCAAATCTTAAAAGACAATCTTAGATAGATTTTATTCGACTAGTTTTCAATGATCTCTGTAATGATTTGTTTGGACTTTAAAACACCCTTTTTGGTCCAAGTTATTATTATAAAAGTATTTTAGGTTCAATTAAATCTTCATCATAACAGACATAACGAGCTGCTGGATTCTTTATACAACTCCCCACACGATATTTTGTTCCACATCTAGTTAGCCGTGGATCTATAAGCTCTCATCACAAAGATATTGATTCTTGAGTTTCAAGTGCATGCACCACGTATAAACAATTCGTAACTAAAACATAAGATTTATGGAACAAAATTTGTAATAGAAGATCATTTTTTGTGAAAACTACACGTGGTTGGTACGGTGGTCTTGGTTTAGAACCAAGAACTTTAAACTCGTCTTATTTTTGTGTTTAGTTAGTGTTTTAGATGTATGTAAAACTACACTGCGATACAAAGTATATTTCCTCCATTAAAGATCAATATTATTTCCATCGATCTCTATCACTCATTTATTATTCTCTCGTTGTTCACCATTGTTGTTTGAAGTTTCATAAAGGCGTCATAATTTGTGACAGAACTTGATCAGAAAACAAAGACAATAATATTGGCACGTAAACTGTAGACTGCAGAAGTTGCTATCAAAACTTTTTACCATTGATATAGGTGTGGTCAACAACGCTTTATATACAATTATTTATTTCATTCAAATCTAAGGAAAATGATATATATGTACCTAGCTAACTCATAGATATCTCCTCTCATGTATAATTGAATGTTAGATTGTGTATTGTCCGTAGTGTAAATTTGGAGGTGGTCCCATACTCCCATCTGTTTGAGTATATTTCAATTGGTTTACAACTATATATTTCAATTGGCAGATTTTTTTGTCAATTTTTTTTTTTGCAAATGTAACACTGGATTTTTTTTTCCTACTGAATAGAATAAAAACTTTAAAAAGATGAAATCGAAATTTAAAGAACTAGAAAGCAAGACTTATGTAAAAGCGTTAATCTAAACTACTATGCGAAAATTTAATCATAACGGTGGTTTTGCCAAAATTTAATAGAGATTTTTTTTTTGATATTTAGAGATTATTATGAATAAATTTTTTCGATGAGAAAAATCCCCTTCATATGATGTTAGCATTTTTTTTTGTGTGGTATCTTCAGTTACACTCACCCCAAACATGGTATAATGTACTATAGAAAGCAGATAACTAATGGCATTTTTTTTTTTTGTCAAACACGCCTAATGGCATTCTATCATGTTTTTCTACAAGCAAAGCATGTAGCTTAGCGTAATGAAGTAATGATATTTCAAATGAATAATAATCCATCGAGCCTCAAAATTGGAGAGCTTTTTTAACTAAAAATTTGTTAAGTCTTTTTTACTATTAATATTTTCTGTAGGATTTTTAAAAATATTTTCTGGGCTTTTCAATTGTTTTTGAAATACAAACTCATTATTGTCTTTAATACAAACTCATTATTATCTTTAATACTGAAATTCTGATTTAATGTGATTAAAAATATTGTGGGCTTTTCAGTTGTTTTTGAAATTTGAAAACATTATATGAAGTGTTGATGTGATTTCATTAATATTATTATTATTTATACTTTTTAAGTTTTGCGTAGGGTACCGAAATATGTCAGACTGGCACTGTTCAGAGGTTTGTTAAGAATATAAGAGAGATTATATGGGATAATAATATGAGATTAGCTACTAGGTGAATCAAATTTCAGGATTGTTGTGTTTTAAAATGTTCATGGTTTAAAGGTCCGGATCTATGACACTACATATTAAGAAATAAAACAAGAGCTTTTTTTCAAAGAAACAAGAAGAAGTAAAATCTCTGTAATTGAAATTAACAGTTTGATGACATCGAATTGTTTACCTGATCTCGCCATATCATATCACAAATCCAATTTGAAAGGAAGATTCTCTTTATCCCCAAACTGTGTAAATGCATGCAAATGACAGCTTTGCATCAAATGAAAATATAATTTTATCAAACTCTATAAGATTATTTGCTGTTTGTTCAAATACAATAAGGTTTACGAATCAAAGTACATGGTTCTTTGTACCTTTTTCAATCAGTCTACTGTTCTTCTATATTTTTATATACAAATATTCTTTGTACATTTCAGCATATTTAATTTTATCAAACTTAAAAAGTCAAAACACAATGTCAAAAAGGATAAAATAACTAAACGTCAAACTTTGAACACATGCTATAACTAATGAATTTATTGACAACTAATTATGGCATGCATGGTATGGTCGAGATGGTTTGTACACAATATAATGGTCCAGTTCGTTGCAGAACATACAAAGTCCCTTTAACCATCTCTCGTCAAACTATTCCCATGAAATTCTCCGATGAAGCATTTTTATTCGCAAACCCAACGTTTCCGCAGTTTCACGAACCACATCTTCTTCCACCTTCGTCATAGCTCTTGTTTCCTCCATTGATTCCGAGAATCGTAAGGCTCTGATACCTTTGTTACAATAAAACCAGACCACAACACACTCCAATTGATTCAAAGACCAAATCAACAAGAATCCAACGTTCGTGTATATCTTCATCAAAATATTAATTAACAATACAAATAAAATTATTCATTGCCGTCATGAAGTGTTGTGTTCAATTTCGGTAATTAGTAATGGACCTATGCGAAGAAAGAATAATATAGCTAAATTTAGAACTAAGATCAACACAAAAAAGTTCGTATATGATGAGAAAGTAAAAACATAAATATATTGCTTTTTAAGTTCGAAATCAGTTGAACTATATATGTGTTGATCAAATTTTTAACCACCATGTCAATAGATATCACAAATATAATTTCCAGTGTGTTTTCCTTTATATTTACAAGTGGACCTCCAAAACTCCCTTAATAAGAGTAAAATGTATTAAAGTCAACATAATTTAAAAGAAGACCTCCAAAATCACCTCCTTCAAAGTACAATCAGGTTGGAAAAATTGTTTACATTATTGTTTTTTTTTTTTTTTTTTTTGTCAACGTTTACATTATTGTTTCTCATCCAATTTCAAGTTTTTGCGATTAACACAGTTGTAAACTACAAATATGAGGGAAAATACCAAACACAACTTGAAAATTAAAAAATCAAGAAAATAAAAATTACTTGATATTATAATTGTTGGCAAAATATAGAGCAATACCCACATACAAAACTCAGTTTCCAACACGACATTCTATAAAACTCTGAATTTAGCCGGAGAGAATGATATGTTAGCATTTAAGTTACGAGGAAACCCTATTTTAACTACCGAAAAGTCATAGTCAGAAGTTACTCCCCTGAAGCCCTGAAGCCCTGAAGCCCTGAACACTATGCTATCATTCAATGTTACCATCACTTATTATTTCAAATACAAATATATATTCATAAAATAATACTATCTAGAAATCTGAATACACAAAAATTTCAACGTTTTTTTAGAGAAACTAATATTTAAATTTTTTAAAAAGACACATATATGTTTATTAAAAATAGAAAATTACATCTTTGCACAAACAAGTATTAAAGTTATATCAGTAAATATGTTAGGGTATTTTCTTAAATAAATTATTCGTTAAAAAAATGTAGATCAGAAGATTGTTACCTTTTAATTTTTGTCTTCATTGATATTTTGGTTTTAACTTTGAGTTTACCCTCGTTGAAAACAACATAGAGCATGTGATGATCGTGCCTACCCTCTAGAGCAAGGGATAAATGATAAAATCATGCAATTGGGAAGATATTTTGATTCTCCTATCATATGCTAACTATATTTTGTTTATCTTAGTTACAAAGTTAGCTGACCTAAAGAGCAAGGAGAAATGATTGTGGGGCTAATATGAAATTTCTCCCCTACGCATTTTTCATGATCTGGACAGCATAGATGCAAGAAGAATACACATATATAAAAATATATGAAATCTAAGTAGAAGAATTGATTCACAACAATAAAATTTCCATGCCTTTCATACCAATATGGAAATCCAAGAGTTTAATATCATACTCAGTTGGTTTAGGAGGAAAGACTTTTTTCTTATACTCCCTCCGTTTCACAAAGAGTGTCGTTTTAAGGTTTTATTTTTGTTTCACAAAGAGTGTCGTTTTAGGTTTTCAATGCAAAATTTAATGATTTTTTATGTTTTATGACTATTAGTATTCTGCAGATGGTTTTATTATTGGGCAGATTGTGTTTAAGTATATAGGTAATGATGTTTTTGTTTAGAAAAAACAAAAAATTTAATGTTTTCTTAATCTGTGTGCAAAACTCTAAAACGACACTCTTTGTGAAACAGAGGGAGTATATTTTTTTATTTTTATATTTTGGCATCATCTCGGCGATCAAAGAGACTCTTTTCTTATAAGTACGGTAAAAATAGAACAATAAATTATGATTTTAATGAGTTAACATGGAATCGTGAGAAACAAGGAAGACCATTGCGGTGTATCGTGTACTGGCACTTTTTTTTTTACATAGTTTTTCTTTATATTACATGATTTATTATTTTTCCTATAAAGAGAAAAATATGATGAATTTAAAAACACCTCGCGAGTATGTTAATGTCTAACCAAACATCCACACATATTTTGTTTAGGTAATGAAAACCAATTAACAAATACTCCCTCTGTTCCTAGATATTTGATGTTCTAGAGTTTTAGTTTGTTCCACAAAGTTTGATTTTTTAGGTTTTTGTTTTATTTTTTATTGATTAAAATTAATATATAGTAAACTTCAAGACGTAATGATTAATTGTTTTCTAATACTATTGGTTCAAAGTTATTAAAAAATATTTAGTATAAAAAAGTAATTGACAAATAATTAAACAATAATTGCTTCTTAATATATGTGAAAACTCTAGAACATCAATTTTTTAAGAACAGAGAGAGTAAAAAATAGTGCAATAAACACAAATGTGTATCGTGAAACAAGAAACTGACATGCGTGATCATATGTTCTTATTGACCAAAGGAAAATGTTGTTGCTTGAAGCAAAATAGAAAATGTTTAAGAAATAAGTTAATTTTAATGCATACTCCCTCCGTTCCTGAAAGTTTGATGTTTTAGTGTTTTAGGTTTGTTTCACAAATATTGATTTTCTATCTTTTTATTTTATTTTTTATTAATTGATATTAACAAATCGTAGATTTCAAAGCGTAATGATTACAAATAATTAACTGTTTTAGATTACTATTGGTTCATACATTATTAAAAATATTTAATAAAAATAAAAAATTATTAAATGATTAAATCATAATTATTTTTTAATATATGTGTAAACTTTAAAACATCAAATTTTCAGGAATAGAAGAAATATTAAAATAACAAGGAAATGTAAGTACAAATGTAATAAGGGACAACGAACAGACCAAAAAGACAAACAAACAGTAGATGGGAGAGATCCGAGGTGTGTAAGAATTGAAATAAGGCCAAAATTCATTGAAAATTGAATCATTCGTTCATGTATTAATTTATTTGAGTTTTTCTTTCCCGAAGCATATAATAATTTGGTTCCATTAAATATGACAGTGCCTAAACAACAACAATAGGCACAGTTTAGATCCAAATGTTAGCTACATGATGCAATAGTACGCGTGCGGTTTACGCGTGATCCTATAATCTCGAGGTCTCAACTTTTCCAATTATTTTTTCTTAACTTTTTTTGCTAAGAAACTTTTCCAATTTAAGACTGTTCTTTTGAGAGTCGCACGATCTCTCCGACGACACCTTTTTAAAGAAGCGAGCGACTCATTAATTCAAGGAAGAAGTCACCGGCGACAGTCGCTGATTCATAATAAAGCTTTAGTGTGGTGTCGCTGTTATTTTCGGCGACTCCGAAATCATGAAATTTGGAGTCGCAACGATAGGATGAATTGAAGATACAAGGGAGATGAAAGAGAGATAAAACCTTTTTTTTTAGTCGCCGGTCTCTGTCACAGCGTCTCTGCAACGAACAGGGTCTATTACGCTCCATGTTTTTGGCTTATGACTTGTTTTGCTCTTTGCTTCGGGCTTTAGTTTGTGCAAATATGTTTTACTTCATCCTACCTAATGATATTTGGGCTCGTTTTTGGGCTTACCAGGATTACTAATGTTACAAGCTTATATTGTAACAAGATTTTGTTGATACATATTGTGGCATCAAATGGAGATTCTAGTTAAAAACTCACTAGAAAAAATTCGAATCAAAAAACTGTTTAGAAATAACAAAAAAAAAAAACTAAAAAAGTTCAATATCTAAGCTTAATGAAAAAGGACTATAAGAGGTTTTGAGAGTTTTGGCCTTTTGGGGTTGACTCAGATTTTTTTATTTGTTTAGTGTGAGTTAAGAAAGTAAATCAGAATCTATGTATGTATGTAAGTACAACTAGTGAAGATAGTTGCTAGGCATAAGTGTTTGACGAGATCGATGTACTCTTCATCTTGTTTTGAGATGAACGAGTACTTGTAAATCTTTGTGACTATTTTATTAATTTTAAATTTCTTAAATAGATTCATCATTCATGTAATATTCCACATAAAAATAGAGACAAAATATGTATCTTTGGAATAAATTGAGTTTGGCTTTGTTCTTACCAAGAAGATTTAGATTCTTCTCCGATCTGAACCATTGAAGTTATACTATATATGTGTCGTTCAGCCTCTTAAACCAAAATCAGGTTATATGTTAAGCCAAGAAGGCTGGATTTTTTTGTTTTCTTTTCTTTTCAATAACATGCTTTCTAATAATATAAATCCATATAAATGACACAACAATGTACAAATAAAAAACCACTAAGCAAAAAGGGAAAAGAGGCTGACCTTGTTTTCACTCTTGTTATTCCACAACAACTATGTTGGTTTAGTAATGGAAACTTTAAGGCTATAGACTTTTGAATTTTGATAAACAATTAGTGTTTTACAAGTCGTCTTCGAATTCTCATGGTACATGTACACATTATATCTATATCATATACTTTATTTAATCACGTGGACAAAAACTTATGATTTGTATAGTTGTAGTTAAAAACCCGTATGGAAGAACCCTACTTGTTACTATTGTCATTGAATAATGAATCCTTGATAATGAAATTTATCAAAAGTTAATCGAAGAATTTTGGCCGAAACTCATACATCTTCTCATCGTAAACATTTATCTTCCTTCCAAGCGGCAATCGAATCAGGGCTCAAAGACACACATGAAATATGTAAGTGCATTTTTATAGTATAGATGTACAAGAAGCTCAATTAGCCGATAGAGCAAAAGTCAAATTCTGTCTAAAACCAGATTAAAATTTTACATTTCCCAATTGCAAAAGAAAAATAATCTGTTGTTTACTTATTTTCTACAGATGTATGTATTAAATAGACAAAACAATGACAATGATAATCATTATAATACCCAGCAATTTGGGAAAAAGATTAATGGTTTCAGCTGCCTGTAAGTGGGTTTAATTATTTATTTTAATTTATAAAAAGCCGATAGTTTTGAACTTTTTAAAAATTTCTTATTACGTAAAAGGAGAGAAGTAAAGCCATTTCAACCATCTGCAGCCAACCTTGCATGGTCACAACCAGTAATATTCAAACATGAACAAATATGAAGAACTCTCCACCAAAATAATATAAAAATTTATTTTTGGATACAATCGTGCATTTCTGAAATAACTAAAAATCGACTGAATTATATTTTTAAAAATCAGAGGTTTCGAAAAAATTGCAAAGGAGAAATACAGATTTTGGAGAAATGTTTTGAAATTTCATCAAAAAAAAATTGCAATTTAAAAAAAGAAGAGAAATATGTGAATTTCAACCCATGAATTTTTGATGTGTCAGAAACTATTAATAAACAGGATTATACCTGAGGCATGTTATAATACTATTCAACGACAACAACCGTTTTACTACAAAACTAGTATAATCGTAAATAAAGTCAACGGTCAGAATAGTTGGCTGCAATAAAATACGATTTATTTATTTTTAACCATACTTACACGCAAATATACAATTCTACATATATACGTATTATATCAACAAAGATCTCCGTTTATTTTCAAAGCTTTCTTGATCTTTAATTCTCCATACTCTTGATATATTTACCTACCATGATTCCAACAAGATGCAATGAGATCAACGGCTCACGTCCTCCGTCGCTAAAACTCGCCGGAGAATCCCACACCATCAAGAAAACGACGTCGTGTAAGTCGAGGCCACGGCCACATAGCCGGGCCTCTCCAGTAATCATTTACGCGCATTCTCCGAAAGTGATCCACACGCGTGCCGAAGACTTCATGGCCTTGGTTCAAAGGCTCACGGGTCTAGATGAGATTATTAGACGGAACCCTAACGACGTCAGCGAATCGTCCTCTTCTGTGGTGACGGAAGAGGGCCAAGAGGCTAACGTCGGTGATGACAACACGGCGGCTCCGTTTAGTCAGGAGAGAACACAACGACAAAAGTTAACTGATATGCCATTGTTCACACCGAGCTCGATGACGTTGTTTGGTTCTCCAAATCAACTTATGTACATGTCACCGAACCGGACCGATTCATTTCGACCCTTGGTTTTTAAGTTCGAATAAGTCTTCCCTATAAAATATGCTTCTCTATTTTCGTTTTATATGTATACTTTAGTTTGTTCATTAATTCGTTCGTTCATAAGTTGTTTCACTTAGTCGTGATTAGTTGGTGTAAATGTCACTTACATTTATGAACCAGAAGCAATGTCACTTAATTAAGGGTTTACGAGATGTTCTTTTTACATAAATCCTTCCATAAATCCAATGGAATTTGTTTTTAAATGTCATTTTTAAACCAATTGCAAAAATTAGCGTTTGATTTTAGACATTTTTTTGTTTTTTTTTAAGGATATTCCATCTCACTGCCGTGTTATTAAAACGTTGTGAATATAGGTAAGGAGATTCCATCAAAATATTTTATACTAATATTCTTTTGTTCAAACCGGTTGCGTCCATGATTAACTTGACACAAACGGTTCGGTTGTCAACAGTTTATATGATCTTCATAAGAAAATAGTCACACTTGCAAACTCCATTGGAGGGATCGGAACTAATCCGACCGGTTGCGATTCCGATTCCACCGTCAGGGAAAATGGCTGATATGAATCCTTAACAAGAAAACCCCGGCTACAACGTGTGGGCTTCCACAAAATATTTGAAGACAAAAAATCCATTATTGGGCTTCGTATTAAAATGGGCTTCAGGCTCATCTTAGAAAGCAATAATCCGTTTTTCTGATGACGGTCCATCTTAACAAATCTTTTAGGAAGTTTTCTAATTTTCTTTTTTTTTTTTTTTTTTTTTTTTTTTTTTTTTTTTTTTGACATCTTTGGATCGACAAGGCCCGATCCATATCTAATCCCTACCACGCGGGGTAATGCGACTTAGTGGAGTCGAACTCCGGTGGGGAAGGCGGAGTCAAGTGGACTTAACCACTTGACTAAAGGCACATCCCCAGAAAGTTTTCTAACTAAAAATGTAAAACTGAACATGGAAATTTTTAGTACCCTCTCAAAGGTAAACAGTAGTAGAAAATTTGGAAACAATGAAACCAAGTAGAAACTAATGGCATGTAATTAAAGCAATTTTTAAGTTTTATTCCAATAATCTATAAAGTAAAATATCCTTAATCTCAATCATTAACTTTTTATTTCTATGATACAATAAGATTCTCTTCTTTGTATAATACCTAGTTTTCTTCTTTATAAATATGCTAATTCATAATCTTTTTTTTGTTTGTTTGAAAAAAGCTATCTCAGAATCTTGGAATTAGGGAAAAAAAAAAAAAGAATGAAGAAGATGGAGTCTACGCATTTGGACATGATGATATATGTTCTTGTAATCTTTTTTCTTGCTGCTGGGGTAATATACGCCTTTGTGAAGCTGAAGCATAAGCCTGGTCAACAGGAAGAGATTAATTAAATTATAAAGTTATGTAATTTTTCTTCCTTTCTTATTAAAGCTGTTAGAGTGAAATTTAAAACTCTTTATATATTTTAACTGTGTTGCTCATATTACTATGGGGTTATCTATCTAAGACAGTTTTTAGTATGTTTGGATGGTTCAGCATTATATGATGGATCACATGACAATTCTGATTACATTAATAGCTTTATGAATTCAGGACTATACAGATGCACAACATAATGCTGAACATAAACCCTTCAAGGCAAAATTATAACATAGTTTGCATCATCCTGTCTTCATATAATTTTGTTACGTTCTGGGCCTCCTTGTTGAGCCCAATTGACTAATTAAAATATATATCTCTATTTTATATTTGTTATACATTATTTAATATAACTATGTTTTTCTTGATAAGAAATCATTCATGCTCACTATGAAATTTTTTTCCCACTATTGATTTACTTTTAGTTTTAGAGTTCCTCATCTACTTACAATTCTTGAATTTGTTTTCTTTTATCTTAGTCCACAAATCTACTTTTCTTAGTGACACTCCAATAGATAATTACATTCTCTCTTCAAATCTTCAATGAATCTTGACTCTAATTAAACAGCATGGTCTAGCTACATAAAATATTCCAAAAAAAAAAAAAGAAAAAAGTATTACGGAAAAAAGAGTCATGGAAAGGTTCATGAGATAGATGGAGTAACGATAAACCATTAAACTTGGTCAACTAGTTGGCCATCTATATTCGGTAATCTCATGGATTACGAAAATGTTACATGAGTATTAAATAAAATTGGAGCATAATTGGTTTAGCGGTTGAGAAAATTTTATGGTTTTAAACTTTAATTTTAATGTTAAGTTTTAAGTTTAGTTTCTTAAAAATGTATTTTTCTGCTATTTGGACACAGTTTCAAAAACAGTAGCTTGCAGCATGAATACTAGAGTTCGTATTAGAAAATTTTACACAACACTACAATACAAAATTATAGTTTTGTTTTACAAATAATTTATAATGGTTTTGTATATCCAGATCATAGACTCAGCTCAATTCTAAATGTACGTGTGTTACATTACATGTAGACGTAGTGACTATGTCTGTTGTGTAGAAAGAAAAAAATTGTTGTTGTTAAATTTTCTTTCGAATATGATAAAAATATGTAATAAACAAAATTAAAAAAAACTCCATCAGTTTTAATATAAATGTCACTTTGACATTTTCACCTTAAATTAAGAGACAAATTCAATTTTCATTATTAATATTATTAACTTTTAAAAATTAATCACTAGACCTTTTTAGAAAATCGACATATGTTCTATTTAACATTTTAGTTACATTTCAATATAGATAAGTTCAATATTTTCTGTTTTTTACACTGACATTTTACGGTTCAATTAGTCCGACTAGCCAGTCTTATTAGCCAGTCCGATACCGGGTTTTTATATCATTGTTGTAAATAAAAAAACAGAAAGCCATCCCAACTCGAAATCACTTTTCCAAACAACCCGATGATATCACTTATTTCTATGGAACACGAAACATACGTAACTAAAATGTAAAACTAGGGCTTTTTTTGTTAAATGCTTGAAGAGAGTTGTTTGCGTGAAAATGTGACCACCAGTGGCGGATGTACGTTATTATATGAAGGGGCAGATGCCACTGTTAAAATTTTGGAAATTAATAATATTTTAGAAGAGTTTTAATTATGCCACTGTTAACATATTATTTAATGCCCCCGTTACTTTGTTTTCGTTATACAGATCTGTTTTGTATGCAATATATTAAGATTGAAAGTTCATATTATACAATTATACAAGACAAAAAGCTCAATTTATTTTTATTTCTTTTGTTAACAAGCCTATATTCATTTTAATAAAACCAAGTTCAATAATTTTTATTTTTTCATTTGCATGTTTCTTTTTCTTTACTCTTTGGTAAATATAACTTTTAAATATTTATTAATTTTTAAAATCATTTAATAATATTGCCCCGGGTAAAATTAATTTCTGGATCCGCCACTGGTGACCACACGAATAAAAAAACCGTGACTTCCAAAATCAAAGAACTGTTCAATTCAATGTGGAATGTGGTCAAAGTCTTGCACATATATTAACTTTTCACTCCCATAATGTATTTCGATCAACACGTTTCTGTCGTGTATTTCGTTGATTTTGACGAAGTTAATCATATTGAAATAGTATACGATAATATTAATAAGTTATATGTGTTCATTTTTAATAATATCAATTATGGTTGTTTATTTTAAAGCTTTTTTTTGTTGTTCCAAAGTTTTATTGTTCGGCAGAAAAATTAAAAACCCACCAATCGGGTAAATCCACCTAATTAGGTATTAAAGTTCTGGTTGATCGATTGAGGCATGAAATTTGTCCAAAATAACTCTATATGTGATCTATGTTGTGAGTTGTGACATCTCCACCAAGAACATTCCAGTTATGATGATAAAAGCACGATCTTGTGCTCTATTAGCCCGATTGAGATCACATCAGTACATTGACAAGGTTTATTAGCTACACCTCTTCGGATTCTTTTACCAAAAAAAACAGAACTTTTAGTATCCATAATTTTCTGTCTGATTATAATAAACCTAAATATATCTATGGATTTTTCTCAGAACTGATCTGTTATATATTCTTGTTTAATTCACATTTCCTTCTTATAATTTATTTTTACATAGTATATAGTATAAGACTATTTTTAGTTAAAAAGTCTCATTTTACATTAAAAATTTTCTATTGTTGAATATTAGTATTAAATTAGACCCAGAAACTCGTAACCGGCCACATTGGCTAGTGGCTTCACATAGACCCAGAGAACAAGTGAACTAGTAACCGACCAAACACACACGAACACTTTATTAATCTGAGGTTTTTATTCAATCAAAACTAAAATTTTAAAATAAATCGCAGAGAAGGAAACAGACAAATTATTTACAAAATGTTGCGTCGTTCTCATTCTTTTACATTTTTGCGTTGAATCTTTCGTCCGTCCCTCTTAACTTTAAGACGAAACCGTCCCAACCAATATTTTCTCTCGTCAACGAATCCGTCAGCCCGAGATAACGACGTCAGCGTCCCACCAAGTCTCAGCCTCAGATTCCGTCAAGTCCGTCAACACACCGTTAAACTTCCTCAAATCTCCCACGGCTATTTCTCCACTAACATCATCCCTGACGTAAACTTTCTCCACACCACCAGCATCAACACCGATAATATTCCCTAACAACCGCCCCGGCTGCCTCCACTCCGCGAGCAAAGCCGGCATCTTAAAACCGGCGCGTGGATCACACGCCTTCACTTTAACGGCGTCAACACCTTTCTTCTCCGCCGCCAAAAAAAGCGACGAGGTTGAGCTACAATTCTTGAGAAACGTGGCCACAACATTCTCATGATCATCATCATCGCCATCAATATCTAAATGATCCCAAAGCTTCACGACTCCACTCGAACCAATCCCACCAAGATCAGGCCATGAGAACAAATCTCCAATGCTACCACTACATCGCCTCCCCATCCATGTGCAATTACCATTTTCTCCCTGATCATCATCATCATCATAATAATCAGATCCTCTCACGCGGAAACCTCCGTTGACTCGTCTTCGATTAAAGATCGAGTCAACATCCTCATCTTCATCATCATCCTCATCCTCTTCGTCTTCTTCATCGTCAGATGAGACGGTAGACGAACAAGAAACATCGGAATCGCTATCGTAATCATCAAAAAGAGTTGGAGAAGAAACAGAGACATCTATTTTTATTAACCTAACAACTAAACTGTTGAGTTTACTAACAAAGTTTGTGAAATAAGCTAGAAATGCAA